TTTTTGAGGGGGGGGGGGGGGGGAAGCCTTTGAAAGTACCTGAAGAATAGCAATTACCTGAACACTTAGGAAAAAATTTCACGACATGTATAAAATATTAAATGGTATTAATTACAACCCACTTAAATGTCACCAAGTTACCAGTGGAGTACCTCAGGGGTTGATAACTAGGGCTGATACTGTTTAACACTGCCATTACCAACCTAGATGCTGGGACAGCATGTATCCTCAGCAAGTCTGCAGATGATACAAAACTGTGAGGAGTGGCTGATGCACCTGATAGTTGTGCTGCCATTCAGAGAGATCTGGACAGGCTAGAAAATTGGGCTTAGCGGAATCTCATGAAGTGGGAGGAGGAACAACCCCATGCACCTGTACACACTGGGAGCCAAGCACCTGCGAAGCAGCTTTGCAAAAAGAGATCTGAGGATCCTGGTGGACAACAAGCTGAACGTAAGTCAGCAATGTGTCCTTATAGTAAAGGCTAATGGTATTCTGCATTAGGAACATTGCCAGAAGGTTAAAGGAGATTATCCTTCTCCGCTACTCAGCACTGGTGAGGCCACACCTGGAGTGCTGGGTACAGTTCTGGACTCCCCAGTGCAAGAGAGATGGACTCACCAGGAAAAACCCAGTGCAGGGCCACAAAGAATTAAAGGACTGGAGAATCTTTCATATGAGGAAAGGCTGGAGAGAGCTGGGACTGTTTAGCCTGGACAAGGCTCCAGTAGGATCTTGTTCAGAAATACCTGATACGGGGGAATGCAGAAGGAGCCAGACTCTTCTCAGCAATGTAATGGGACAAGAAACAATGGGCAAAAACTAAACAAAAAATATAGGAAATTAAATGTGAACATGAGAAAATGTTTTTACTGTGAGGCTGGTCACTCTGGAAAACATTGCCCAGAGAAGCTGTGGAGTCTCCATCTGTGAAGATACTCAAAACTCAACTAGACACAGTCTTGGGCAATCTGCTCTAGCTGAAGGGGTTGGACTGTTTCATCTCCAGAGGTCTCTTTCAACTAAGTGATCCTTTCATTCTGTGAAATAGCAAAGTAAATACATCCTACTTGTGTAGCTCTGCAGATTTAGTCTCCAGTCACTCAGAACAAAACCCATTTATTTTGGTTAAAACACCCCTATTTTATCCAACCAGCTAGATGATCAAGGATACTGGATTTCTAACAGTATTGAGATGATTAACTCATATTTGGTTTGCTCATTTTCAGTTACTTTCAGGAAGAAATTCATTAAATGCTTGCAAGGACTCTGGCCTTAATTTACAATACCTAATACTGCAATCTTAAGAACCCTCAACTTACACCAAAAAACGTACTAGATGACAGTCTCATTAGCTCTTCATAATGCATGCACTATAGTGATCTGACTAGTTATACTATAAAGGGAGGTGTCTAGTGAGAATGGGATCTTTTCCATTACCACACACTTGTATGCAGATCTTAATATTACCATTTTAACACTGTATAAAATAAACTGCCTGTGCAGATTGGTTTATCATCTGGGCTCCGTACTGACACTCAAAGGCCATGTATGTATTTGTTATCTAGCCAGTCTCACTGAAAGCTCTATGCAGGCATGTCTTTCAAAAGATTGCGCTTAAGCTTTGAATTTCACTGCACCACTAAAGACTCTGCTGTATCTTGCCTGTTGCCACTCTGCAAATGGATACTTGATCTTCTTACTGACAAACTGGCTAATGCGCCTGTGGAATGATGAGGGAAGAGGGAAGTTCACAAAAGGTGTTAGAAAATATCACAAGGAAAATACCAGCTTTATTTGCCTAAAACCCCCCAACCACCCAAAAAAAACCCAACAAAAAAATCAAACACCCCCCCCCAAACAACAAAACCTCTTCTCCAAAACCAAAAAACCCACAACAGATGTTATTCCTTACCTGTATTCTTGATGCTGAATCAGATGCAGAATGTATTTATATCCACTGCTCTACCTCCTCCAAGATACCCAGCCAACATTGTAAAAGCATCAAAAGACATAGTCACATGAAAGAAAGAACAAGCTTATACCATATGTTTCTGCCCACATCAATTGCAAGAAATTACAGGAACGTTCACGTTACTGTAATGGATAATTAATCTTAAAGTAACAATTACATTCTAATGTTCTAAGAACAGGCTGACCATACTCTATAGTTCCTGGTTATTCACCAGAGAAGTCCTTTGTACGTGTTAAGAAAGCATTAAAATACATTTTTCAAGAAAATTCAGGTCACTTTGCAATACAGTAGCTACAAAACATTTATTTTTTTAAATAAAAACATTTAAATCAACAGGTTTTGTAAAACAGCATGTCAAGTGTTTATCTTAATCTCTGTAGTGTAAGCACCTTCAGTTTTATGCTAAAACAGCCAACATAAATTATTATTTGGTCAGGCCTACATTGAAATAAATATACTTTTAACCAAGACAGATCACTTAATGTATACCAGATTCTCATACCTTTATAGAAAGTTTCTCTGGTGACAAGTGAAATACAGACTGTGAAATCATGATTGCAATACGGTCTTTTTTTTCTCTTTTTAATTTCAGTGAAGACTGGCCTATAATTTTAAACTATAAAAACGATTATAAAGCACTACAGACTATAGCTTAAAAAAATCCCAAAATGCCTGTATCACACAAGAGAAATATTTGAGATGGCTTACCTAACCTGTCTCAGAATAAGAGGTGGAATACAAACTCCTAAATGAGTTACAACACACTGGGCTGGTCATATCATGCCCACTCTTATGGGGGGTGGAAATTACCCACTTAATAGGAACAGAAATCTTTGTTTCATTACAAGAGATAAGCCACTGATAAGTGAGAACAATACAGCTCTCAAAGGGCTTTTTATGCAGATACTATTGATTACAAAACACAGGGTGCAAAATTTAACATTTAAAATTATACAAACCTTGAAAGTACAGAACGCAACAGAAGTTTACAAGTCGAAATACTTCAGCACCTGAGATTTTCCTGTAGAAAGCCAGATACTTTCTTCAGGCATATGTAATACAATCAACTCCTTTGCTTGCGGTATTACACAGGAATAATTGATCAAGAAAGAGTTGAAATATACATAATGTTCAAAAATTCAAATTAAGCCTTCAAGATAAATCTGCTATCAAACTATACTTTTTGATCCATGTGCATTACCTGACTTGACTTTATGAAAACATTTTGTATTAAAATTGGAATTGACTTAATTTATTTAAAGTGTTCTGATGAAATTAAAGTTTAAAGACAAAGAACAGTATGCAACTTGAATCATGTTGACAAACACTAAGAACACTGAAATAGAAACAGGTTTGAACAAAATGTAATAATCTGCTATGCAAGCATGTATTTTTACAGACAAGTAGTGGTTACGTCTTTACTTTTGGTAAACTAATACTTTATTGCTTTCATCTTGAGAACTGGGAAGTTGCATTTTCTATGTTCTGCTCTGTGTGATTAAGACTTCATGATTTTGTATGTATAATTACCTGTTATCCTCAAGGTAGGCACTGTACTGCATACCAGTCTTAGAACAGAGGCTTCTTTTTTTAATCCCTTGGTTTTGAGGCTTTAAACAATTGTGTATTCTATTTAACAACTGCACTCCCAGACCCCAGAGTAAAGAAGAAGAAAGCATTTAAAACAAAGGTCTCAACAAAACAGTATACTGATGGGAACACAGCACTTTTATTCTAACATGATCTAATTTCATTTATGGAAACTACTTAAATGTCAAATGACACGCAAAATTAAAAGACTTCAAATAGTGGAATATGAGGGATGTTCCTCTAAATCTAGAAATGTTTTTGTCAGGGAAAGTACACTGTACATTTGGTTTTATTTAATCACTTAGTGATACTGTAAAAAATTAAACTATCAGTGTTATCAAGGTTAACATTCCTCCCTCCACAATTAACTACTTGGAATTCTCTGGAACCTTTCTATCTCTGAAAGCCAGTCAAGCATATCTGTTTCTGTCCTTCAATTCCTAAAGAAGAATAACCAGGCACTCAGTAGTAATTTTAGGAATAAAAGCTGCAGAGATTATATTGAAAGTTTTAATATTAAATTATCATAGTTTTAAAAATCTGAGTGCAGTAAAACGCAACTCCGTCTCACTGAAACCAAAACCAGTCATCCTTAAACCCATCATCTTTCCTCAATAAAAGGTGCAGCAGTTTAAGAAACAAGAGGGGCAAACCCCTCCACAAATAAAAAATTCCAAACCAAGAATATTGTTTTCAGTGCAAACATAGTAGTCTTCAAAAGGTTAAGAGTACAAATATTTACGTTCCAGTGTATCCTTACCTACAAGGAATGTTGTTTCACATTATAAAGTATGTCAAATACCTTTAATCCAATTGCAATACTGAAGTTTATCCTCTCAAATCGATATGGTGACTGAAACCAAAGTGTTTATACAAGCAATGTAACTTTCTGGAGACACTAATGCACACAGTTGAAAGCTCTCACAAAACCCAAGGGTAAAACCTCACAATTCAGCTGCTAGTCCTTAACCAATTTCACTTTCAAATGCCAAAAAGTAACCAGCTACTTAATGATCAGTGAACAGAGCCTCCCACACACCAGCAGCTTAAATCCCCTGCCCCCATCCCTAATTCTACAGGCCACAGAGGAAAGCTGGAGAAAACCACTTAGGCAATACTCTTCTTGTCAGAATGCAACCTTACTGTATGGCATTCATTTTTCCAATGTGCAAAAGTTACATTTCTAGAAAAATCCCTCAAAACTTCTGTGACACTGCAGAGGGGGGTGGGCATGTTATTTTAGTCATTCAAAATATACTTATAAAGTTCTCCTAGTATACTATTTTGCAGCACCCTGCTTTTAGAGTTACTAGTTGGGTTCCAAGCAACATTTGAAAAAGGCACCTACTACACTTTCTTAATTAGCTGCCCATTTTAATAATTTTGGTACTTTTTGTCACAGTACATCAGGAAACAGCAGCACAAAGCATTAGATGGACAAGAATTTTATATTTGTTCCCCTTTAAAAAGCAAACATTTTAAAAATGAAAGGCACTCATGACAGAAACTCCCTCTCCAGTTCATATATAGATGGTCGACAAGTTTTGCTCTTCATTCTACATAAAGGCACAGTACAGTCTCTGTTTTGACCTTCCACATCAATATCAAGTAATGAGGGCATGTGGCAGTTAGTTCTTTCCTCAGTATCTGGCAAGAAGGTAACATCTGAATCTACATTGCCCTCTAGACATTCAGAGTCTTTAGAGTTTGGTTTAATAATACGTGGAATAATCTGCCATGAATCGATTTTACTTCTTAGAGAAGAAGGTCGAGGCCTTGATATAATATTGACAGTGCTTTGCTTTTCAGTTGAAACACCGTGATTGCTTCTTTGCTGAACAGACGGAGAGTGCAGAGTTCCAGTAACTGATAGAACTGGTATTGTGGAGACAACATTGGTTGAAGCAAATCCATTAGCTAGGAGAAAGGCGAAACAAAAAAAGCCAATTTAAACCATGTGACTTCTTGATTTCTTTGCCATTTAGTAAAACTAGGTTGCTGTAAACACTAGTGGCTTTTTTCCCCACCGGAAAAATCAAGAAGCTTGTACATTTGCGGGGGATCTCCTAAGTAATGACCAGCAATCCTCAAATAATGTTTTTGCATCTACGCTCTCTGCCAGAGGCCACAATTTTTTTGTTGCTACAAGAGATATATAGAGAAAGCATTAACCTCCCAGTAAGTGGATGAACATTAACATTAAAGCCTCAGAAATTTTTCCGGTTACCACAGTATATTACTATGCACAAGTATATTACGTCTGCATAGAGTACCATGAAGAATATTACATTTAAGCCAACAGAGAACACCAGTACTGAAAATTAGAACTTCTTTCTGAAAAGTCATTAATTACAAACTTATCCATTTACATGAAAACCAGACAAAGATTTTTTTTTTATCTTAAATTTTTATCAGCAGTCTAACTTAAGGATTTCTGGAACATGTGACATAACTTCTAGGTCAAGTAAGCACATCAACACTTACCAGGCTTGTTTTTCTTGCAGTTAATAAATGTGCAGTACTAAAATGATGCTCAATCACTCACCAAAGTGGACTGTGAAACTATATTAAATAAGCGTACTCTCAGCCTCAGTAAGTCCACAACACCACAATGCATGCACCTGACACAGTCTCTTTTTATTTCAGCCTTAATGCTAACATAGTACCTTTCATGAAAAGCAGGTTCTCAACAACATGAAAAGACAAGGGAAACCTTTTTTTTTAATACCTGAGTAAAAATAGATATTGCCTTAAAATGAACTCTCTCTTCTCCTTAAATCTCCATACCCACACTCCTAACAGGATACTATTCCAAGTGCAGGTAGTTTAGACAGGGTTCAGACACAAAGGGCTTACGCCCATGTAGTTATGGTGGCTCAGCTAACACGTAACTGTAACAAAAATTTCAGCAACTCATTAGTGAATGGTTAGTTTCTCTATATTTTCTGTTCCTATTCTTAAAAATCCCCTACATGTTAAGTCCTTAATTACCCACCTGTGGTCTGAAAATTGTTCCCATCTGATAAGGTTCGCCTGTGACCCAACACACATAACTTTGTCACGGAATCATTTTGCAGATTTTGAGATTCTTCTTTCTGACAAAGATCAAAAGGCCGATTTTTCAATCGAGTAGAACCTGCATTAGAAGCCAGCTGTATCCTCTCTTCTCTCTTACTTTCAGAAGTTTCAGATAAAAAGTCATCAGTAGAACTACATGGACCACAATCATCAAGCACAGTGCTTACAAACGCATCTTCGCTGTCAGGCTGAAGTAAACATTTTGTGGAAATGGAGGGCATAGAGAGAAGATTCACAGTATTTGCAGCTGGATTTAGGGTTGGAACATTTGTTTCCTCTTTCTTGGACTGTAGTCGTGTAGGGCTGGCACTCCTGCGAAATATTGAAGCACGCTGAAATATTCCATCACGCTTCTTCTTCTCATCCTTAGGCAAAAGTTCATCTGGACCCTGTGGTCTGTTCAGCTCTCTGATATCTAAGCCCAGGGCAACAGATGCAAGCAGGACAGCACACCCGTACAGCACTGAATCAGTCTTCTTTTTCTGCAGCGTCCTGCTCAGACTGTTTGTAGGTGTCATTTGAGGAGTACTATTTGTAGAACTAGCAGAGGTTCCTTCTTCAAAGCTCTCATGTTCTACTGTATTCTCTCCCTGATCATCTTTCCACAGAGGTAGGTTAATATAGGCCTGATTTGGCAACTTAATTGGCTTTGGTCTTTTACTGTCCAAACCTTCAGGGAGAAGTTTCTTATCAATACAGACACCTATAAAACATTACAGTATACTTTAAGATTGCAATTCAGCTATTTTGTTACTGCATGTCTGTACATGCACATTATTATTTCCTTCCACTTGCAGAAGGATTAATCTTGAGGTATAGTGTACACCCCCATTCAGATGCAGTCACAAGTTCAGAGAGACTCAAATTGTAAGATCCAGAAACACATCCTAAGCCTAAACCTCTTCATGTTCTCTTGAAAGTCTTTAAAATAGCAGAAGTACCATTTTGCTACAATTTCATCTTTTTAGCAACACAAAAGCAAACTATTAGAAGAAACTTGCAGATCAATCTTCCTGAGTATACAGGTTAACTGTAAACAAACCATGTTTTCCACATCTGGAAGACTTATCTTTATTTTAAGAGAGGCTTAATTTATCTCCCAACCTTTATGCGCTCAGTTCAGTTCAAGAGCAGATCTTGTCTTTGCATTTTCTGTGATATTTGAGATTTTCAACACTTTTGTCATGCTTTTCTAATAATGTGGAAAATATTTTGGTGTATGGACTACAGTTAAGTAATTCACTATATACAGTCTGCCAGATAAGATCTGGAACACATTCTTCACAACACTTTCAATGAAGCTGTGTTCCAAATCCAGTGATTTGCTGGAAGCTTTTCCAGCCAATTCATTAGGTCACAGTGTTCTGGAGTATAAAGTAAATCTGACACCTAATGACATATATAATGAAAGGTATAATTTGACTTGCACATGTTATTCTACTATAAACTACTAAATGCTACAGAATAAACAGAAATATTTGAAATGCAAATATGTAAACTTGTGTAATCCTCTCTGTACATAGGGGTTTAGTAGTAAGCTAATATATCTGTAAAATGACTATTTGTGAAGCTTGATGAAGACGAAAATGCCTTTTTTGTAGGGGGCAAAAAAAAACCCCAACCAAAACACAACAGTGTCCAACCTGGCAAAAATCTAACCACAGGTACGGACACCAACTTATATCATTTGGTTTTTTTCCTGACACTGGTAACTTAATTTTCTCAGATAAGAGACTCTGTAGTATAGAAGGTGTGTGTAAATCTGAAAATTATAGATATTGTAGAGCCATAACACATTATAGTAGCAGTCATAAAAACCAACATACAGCTATAATGTTCCTGATCCTTAGGGGATTAGGTATGTTTTTCCTTATAACTTACTTGTAAACCCAAAAATGTTACCTAAACAATTTTAGGATTCTAAGTCTACATATTTTTTCTGGAAAATTTAGAGAATAAACAAAAAAAAACCAACAACCAAAAAAACCTCACCACCACCACCTAAAAAATGGTGACTGCAGACCTCATATACCTATCAAAAACATGGAGAAAAAAACCCCACATCTGTGGTACTGCTCACACACCATGTGTATTTCTTAGCTGCTAATGATGGAAATGTAAGGATTTTAACAGTTGCGTTTTTAATAGATAGTAATTTTCCTGTGCAAAACAAACCCTATCTTCTGCATAATCCTTGAGGAATTCAAGCAACACAACACTGGAGGTATACTTAATGCCATTAAATTGCTTTTTCAAAAATAGCTCTTACCTTGGTCCACAAATAGTGAAGCTAAAGGAACACCCTTCTGATTTTTCATTAGAACAGTTGACCAAGGGTTGCTGCCATCTGAAAGGGGTCTTATTCTGAAACAGTAAGTTATTCTGATATTACTATGCTTATACACTTTGACAGAAAATTACCAAAATCTTTTTAAACTATAAACATGTAGTACTTAACTTGAAAACAGTAAAGCTTTCCAAAGGTAAAAAAAATTATATAGAAGAAAGTCATATGATTATAAATTAAGACATGCCCTGTATCTAGTATTCCTTATAAGATGAAAATTTCAAGCCAATGAAAACCAGGCCTTGACTACCTAAGAACAAAAGCTGGTGAAGACTGGACAACAGTTTCACTGAGTCAAAGAAATGATGTGAATATTGGATATTTATTAAACACTGTAACTTTAAAACAACCAAAAGTATCATAATGCCAGTTTCAGTAGATAGCCTAGAACCAGCTACTGCCACAGGTAAACAGGTGGATGACTACCAACAAAAAACCCAAGGTGCTATAAAGAATTTTATTATTAAAAGAGACAAGGAAAAGGATCTCTTGCTTCAGGTAGAATTGCTAATCTCCACTTCTGAGTAATCAGAAAAAGTGATCTTAAAGTGAAGGTGTCCAACTGATTTTTCAGAACCCTTTCAACCCATGTTTATTAGTGTAAATGATGTTGCTGGAATGACTTGTGCTTCCTGTATGCGAAGTCAGTCTTCCTTAATTGTACTGGAAGTACCCACTGGGGGCCACGCTTGTACTTCCTCAAGTCAATGTGAGGAAGGGCACGAAAGACAGGCCATGAATGTCTGGTATGCATTAGTAGCTCAGCATCCCAGCATGTTCCAAGTCTCAAAAAAACAGAGATAAAAGGTAATAGATAAGAGCCTCTAAAACTTTAATATAAGCAAGCATTTTATCCTCCAGTCTATGTGGGAGAGCTACTTATTGTTAATGTAAATTCCTAAATTAATTAAAAGGTAGGACTGAGTTTTAGCTGTAACTAGAGACTGCAGAACATCTCTCACTCACTGCTTTTTAGTGATTCAGTTACCAAGAAGGTTTAGTATTATCAAACAAACAAAATGTAATAGACATACTTGTCCTTACAATCTGCACGATCCTTGCTTTGAACTGAACTTGGTCCCCATGTACAACCTCTCTTTTTAAAACTTCTCTTCACATCTTCAAACTCTTCTTGGTGATAAGTTGTGCTCCTTCCCCAAGTTCTGTTACTTTCATCTGAAGTTACTAAAGATTGGATTTAAAAACACACAAAAAAACCCCCTGCATATAAATAGTATTTCTAAAATGAAAATATTTTGACAGAGTATTTTCTCCACTGCAAAACAACTTTGACACCGTAACACGAGTGGTAGACAAAATTTGAGATATCTTTTCTTTTACCAGAACCACCAGGCAAACTGCACTGATCCAAAAAGATAAGCAAGCAAGAAAAAAAATTTATGAGCTGACCAGAGACCCAAATTAAAGATAAGCAGTGAAACAATCACATTTTTCATGCTTCATTTAACTGAGAACCTATATTTAGATAATTCAGACAAGTGAGTTAGACTGAGCACTTAAATTCCAATGAAGAAACACACGCTGTGGAACAATTGGTATTAAAAAGAAACAGAATATTCCAATTGTGACAATCATTAACATTTTCTTTCTCACTACACCACAACAAATTATACTTTTACAGTGTCTAACCTTTATTAAATGCTTAGTCTGTCACTGTCTCCACTTAAATTAAACACAACCAGCACCTTTGAAACATAATGAAATCTTGCCTTTTTTCATAACCCCACTGGGAAGTTCACATTCACTTGTGATATCTACATCTTGCTGGTACACATATACACTGTTTCTTCGGCCATTAGTTGTGTGTGTATCTGTTTTGGGAATCACTGAGGAAAAATTGAGAGAATGTAGCAGAAATCTTAGTCAAGTTGATTTCAGAAATGGAACTGTTTCACTTATATTTTTTATTTTGGGTCATAGAGCCCAGGTCTATAAAGGAATTAAGCATCTTCTGATAGCAGGTTTTCACTGTGGGGTTTGAAGGATCCTATTTCTAGGACCAGATCCAGGCAAGCAGATTTTTACATATGACTAACTGGAAAAGTAACTCGCTATCTACATAGCCGGCTTACAGCTATGATAGTGAGGCCTAATAATAAAAAAAATAAAATACTCTAGCCAGTTAAAACAGCATGATAAATGAGGTGGTTCTGCTGCTCCTGCACTGCGAAGTGCTCTCCTCTTGCCTCAGTGTACACCTTCTAGCCAGCACAGCTTCCCCTCCAGGATAGCACTCCACTTGCCTTCTTTATACTCACATTTTCAGTCACATTCCAGGACTTATGGCAGATATATCTTACTGAGTGTCCTCCTCCCTTTAAGTCATCTTTCAAAATCAGCTCAATTTGTTTTAATAACAAAATTTACAATTAAGTAGATTTTTATTTTAACTTTAAAAACTTCTGGATTTGGAAGCTAGACTTGCTCATGACAAAGTGAAGCAATCAAGTAACCAATTGTTAGATATGGCTGTTCCAATCACCTGTATTTGAGCAAGTTCTCTTGAAACAACGATGCTTTGAAGTTAAATCAAGATAAAATGTTATTGTGGGAAAGAGAATTAATTTTGCACAGGTGCAGATGGGTGTGGAAGCTAAACTGTTTCAACCAGATACTCCTGAGAGATCTGATAAGCTTTTAGGTAAAGTCTAGGGATCCAAACTCAGAAACAGAAGTGTACTGCTTTTAAAGGAGAGTCTTTATGTTGTCTTGTACGTTCTAGTCCTACAAATACAAATGCCTGCTCAAATAAAAAAAAAAAAAAAAAAAACAAAACCAAAAAGTAAAATCCCCAGTGGCACCCAGCACAAATGCAAGGAGTGGCACTGCTATAGCTTACATAAGGCATTAAAAAAAAACAACCCTCAAGTTTCCAGAATCATGCCAATACCAGACACTTGCTTCATTTCCAAGCATTTCCATACAGACCAAGGAGAATCAAAGATAAGACAAGACAATCTTGTTTACATGTTATGATGACATCTTACTAAGAAAAACCTTTCTTACCTTTCTGCAGTAAAAAAAAGGAAGCAACTAAAAAACCCTCCACACAGTTTGAGGTAGGAAAACCAGTATCAACACAGATGCTGTGTCAGCTAACTTTCGGGGTGGGGGGAATAAATTTCCTTTCATCTTAAATTTTCATTAAGAAAAGCAGGACAGAGTTTGTCCACCTCTCTCCTTGATCCATAACATATGGTAGTAATGGTCTTTGCCCAGGTAACTGTATCAGTTACAGTTCAAACAAATAATAAAGTTACTGCCAGAAAAGATATCACTTCTCCTTTAGACATGAATAATGAAAAGGCAGGGATATTCCAAAGGAGATGAGAGATCTGGTTCCTATCCAAACTTTAAACAAAGTTTCAGGTTAGTTAAAAAGTAATAATAATGAAAAAAAAAAATCTTTAGTTACAGAACAGTATGCAGAAAAATCCATTTTTATTTTCCCTCCTCCTTATTTATATCTGATAAAGACAGATGCTGAAGTAATTTCCTTCAGAGGTGACTACACTTGCAGGAGAAGACCGTCACCATCCATAAGCAATCAGTCAAAACAAGTTCCACTGATTTTATACAAAGAAAGAAGCTTAAGGCATTCTACTCTGACTAGGATAATCAGACAATCTACTTTGCACAAGGTATCAGACAGTACAAACGCAAGCAGTGAATCCTGCAGGAACTGTTTTCTATCTCTACGTAAGTAATTCCCAAATATAAATGCAGGCTAAACTGTAACAGTATAAAAAGTTTTCTTCTATATTCATGGTACCTCCAGTACATGAACACATCTTGCATTCTGTGATCAGTATACATGGAATAATGTAGACCTACAAGCAGATTCACAATTTTATTTTTTGTTTTTCTTGTTTTCAAAAAAACTAAAGCAAGCTTTCTTTTTTTTTTTATGGTTTTGTATTTGCTTAAAGCTTGCTCCTCTTTTGACATAAGCGAGCTGGGCTGCTTGCTGATACTTTGGCCTTTCCATCTTACACAACTCCCTTTCTCTGAATCTTTCTTGATTTCCTTTATCAACTCCAGTATCTAATAAAAACTTTTTTTCCATTTTACATGGGTTTTAAACATAATGCTTTGCCTTTTGTCATTATAAATTTTGATTCTTCATTGTTATATCCCAGTTAGTTTACAAATGAGTTCCTGAAGTTATAAAAAGATGATTTAATGAATTCACAATAATATTAAATTACTGAAAATTAGTTAGTATTTTAGCAAAAATATCCCTCCCATCAAAGAACAAGTTGCAAATGTTAGAACAAGCTAAGGGACCTGGAAATAAGACAGAAATCTGGCTGGAATCAAATACTGCTACCAGTGTTTCAGTAAGTATATAGGACAAACAGTCTCTATTGACCAAATCAACAAATAGAAATGGAGGAGACTTACATTGTATAGCTCGAAGACGAGGAATTATTGTGGGGCTGCTCGATGGACTAGAGCTGTTACTGTTTAAACTCCTCCTCTTATCCAGATTGGGGGATGCCTGCACTGTTATTTTGTGCTGGAAATCTGTAAAAGAGTAAACCAAATCAGTTTTAATGTTCTAAATAAACAACTCTTCAGATTATACTGCTGTACTACTTAAAACAATTAAAGCTAATAATGAATTACACTTGATAGTGTAAGAGATGTTTGTATTAAAAGCACTGACAAACTAAGTTTTAATGTAATAATTCAGATCCTGAGCCAAACAGACAGGATTTCACACCTTCATAGACACTGTATGATAGATTTGCACTAACATCAACAAAAGCAAGTAGGTCCAATTGGAACCAAAATGAGATACATCTACATCAAACTGTTGCTAAATCTTGTTGGTTGTCACAAAGGTAAAGAAAAATCTCAGTGTTTCATCTCAAATCAATCAATATTCATGGCAATCAGATTAGCCTTATTTTTTTAAAAAGCAATTCACATACAACGCAAAAAGTACTGTTTACAAATAAGTCACATCTGTGCACATATCAGAAAAGCAGGACAAACTACAGAATTACAATTTTTTTTTACAGC